TCAACCTGCAGACCAGCAAACGCCGCACCGAGCTGATGTACGCCGCCGTCTTCAACCAACTCGCCCTCGTGCGGCGCTTGCTGCGGGCTGGCGCAGATGCGACGGCGCGCAGTGCGAGCGGCAAGACGGCGCTGCAGCTGGCCAAGGAGAAGGGCCACGCCGAGTGCGTCAAGGTCTTGGCTGAGGCGGCGGCGGCTGCAGACGGCCGGGCGGGGCCGGGCGGAGCTTCCTCGGGCGCGGCAGCGGCAGCTGTGGACGCGCCGCTGCTCGGCCAGCGAGTCGTGCTCGGCGGGCTCTCTTCCCGCCCCGAGCTGAACGGGCAGCGGGGCGTGGCGGGGAGCTTCGAGGGCGGGCGGTACGCGGTGGCGCTCGAGGGCGGCGGCGAGAGCGTGCGGGTGCGGCCGGGTAATCTGTCGCCGGCGGCGGCGGCGCCGAGCGGTGGCGTGGCAGTCTCCGATGCGGTCGTGGCAGCGGCTGGGCGAGGCGACGAGGAGGCGGTGCTGGCGTGGCTTGAGGAAGGCGGGCGGGCCGACGCGACGTACGAGAGAGGCGGCGTGAGCGGCCTCACGTTGCTGATGGGCGCCGCCCGCAATGGCCACGAGCGGTTGGTCGAGCTGCTGCTGCAGCACGGCGCGGAGGTCAACCTGCAGGACAGCAACGGCGGCACTGCGCTGATGAACGCCGCCTTCTTCGGCCACCCCGCCGTCGTGCGGCGCTTGCTGCGGGCGGGCGCAGACACCGCGGCGCGCAGTGCGGGCGGCAAAACGGCGCTGCAGCTTGCCAAGGATAAGGGCCACGCCGAGTGCATCGAGGCGTTCCGGCAGCACGTCAAGGAGTCGGTCGTGGCGGGACGGCCCGCGGCGACGGCAGCCGGCGGCGAAGGCGCAGGCGGCGCTTCCTCCGGCGGCGCTTCCTCGGCTGGATCGAGAGCCGCGAAGACGCCATCTCCAGCGGTGGCGGCGGGGCGGGCGCCGAGCGGTGTCGTGGCAGTCTCCGATGCGGTCGTGGCAGCGGCTGGGCGAGGCGACGAGACGGTGGTGCTGGCGTGGCTTGACGGCGGCGGGCGGGCCGATGCGACGTACGAGAGAGGCGGCTTGAGCGGCCTCACGCTGCTGATGCTCGCCGCCCAGGAAGGCCGCGAGCGGGTGGTCGAGCTGCTGCTGCAGCACGGGGCGAAGATCGACCTGCAGAGCAGCAACGGATTGACCGCGCTGATGTACGCCGCCCAGGGGGGCCACGAGCGGGTGGTTGAGCTGCTGATACGGCGCGGCGCTGAGATCAACCTGCAGAACAGCGACGGCGGCACCGCGCTGATGATCGCCGCCAGCCAACGCCACGAGCGGGTGGTCGAGCTGCTGCTGCAGCACGGCGCGGAGGTCAACCTGCAGAGCAGCGAAGGCTGCACCGCGCTGATGCTCGCCGCCGGCCAAGGCCACGAGCGGGTGGTCGAGCTGCTGATACGGCGCGGCGCTGAGATCAACCTGCAGAACAGCGACGGCGGCACCGCGCTGATGATCGCCGCCAGCCAAGGCCACGAGCGGGTGGTCGAGCTGCTGCTGCGGCGCGGCGCGGAGGTCGACCTGCTGAACAGCGCCGGCTACACCGCGCTGATGTGCGCCGCCGAAAGAGGCCACGAGCGGGTGGTCGATTTGCTGTTTCGGCACGGCGCGGAGATCAACTTGCAGAACGGCGAAGGCGGCACCGCGCTGATGGCCGCCGCCGGCCAGGGCCACGAGCGGGTGGTCGACTTGCTGACACGGCACGGCGCGGAGGTCAACTTTCAGAGCAACAACGGCGGCACCGCGCTGATGAACGCCGCCTTCTTCAACCACCTCACCGTCGTGCGGCGCTTGCTGCGGGCGGGTGCAGATGCGACGGCGCGCGGTGCGAGCGGCAGCACGGCGCTTCAGTGGGCCAAGGAGAAGGGCCACGCCGAGTGCGTGCGCACCCTCGAGGAGCACTCGTCGACCACAGCAGAGGCTGAGGGGGAGACGGCGGTCGCAGAATCAGCCGAACAGGCCGCGGCGGCCGCACGCGAGGCGGGAGCGGCAGCGGTGGCGGCGGAGGCGCGCGATGCTGCCGAGGCTGCGCTGCGCGAGGCGGTTGAGGCGTGCGAGCGAGGCGACGCCGATCTCGAGGCGCTCAGGGCGGCGATCAACGCAAACACCGAAGCCGCCGACGGCTCGGAGGCGCTGCGGGCGGCGCGGCGGCTGCGCGACGAGCTGGCGGAGCGTAAGGTCCGCGAGGCCAGGGCGCTGAAGCGGCAGCGGCAGAAGGAGGAGAAGGCGGCGGCGGCGGCAGCGCGGGCGGCGGAGCGGGCGGCGGAGCAGGCGGAGGAGGCGCGGGCGGCTGAGGAGGCGCGAGTGGCGGAGGAAGCGGATCGGGTGGTAGCAGAGGTTGCGGCGGCGCGGGCGGCGGAGGAGGCGGAGGCGGCGTCGCGCGCAAGGGAGGAGGCAGAGGCGAGGGCAAGGGAGGAGGTGGCAAGGGAGAGGGAGGAGGCGAGGATGAGGGCGGAGGCGGAGGCGGAGGCGGCGGCTGTAGAGTCGGCAGTGGCGGCCGTGGCGGCGGCGGAGGCTCAAGAGGCGGCGGCAGCGGCGGCGACAGCGGCAGTGGAGGCGGCGGCGAGTGTCGCCGCCCTCGCCGCCGCCGCCGCGCCGCCCGCCGCCGTCCCTCTCGACGAGCTCATCGCGGCGACCGACGGCTTTGCCGAGGCGCGCAAGGTGGGCGAGGGCGGCTTCGGGCGTGTCTACCGCTGCGACGCGCTGCCGTCGCTTCCGCGCGTCGCTTGCGGGTTCGCCGTCAAGACGGCGCTGGTCGGTGTCGGCGCCCAAGGCCTCGCCGAGCTGCAGAGCGAGGTGCGCACGCTCAGCGCGGCGTGCCACCGGTCCTTGCTCCCTCTCCTCGGCGTCTGCTTGGCGCCGGCGAGAGCGTGCCTCGTCTACCCCCTCTGCCGCGGCGGCAGCCTCGAGGACCGCCTCTACCGCGCTCCAGCCGCGCTGCAGCGGCTCCGCATGCTCGGCTTCGAGACGCCGCCTCCGCCGCTCTCCGCCGCCGCACGGCTCCGCGTGCTGCGCGACGCCGCGAGAGCGTTGCACTACTTGCACACGCTCTCGCCCATGATCCTGCACCGCGACGTCTCGGCGGGCAACATCCTGCTCGACGAGCGCGGCAACGGCTACCTCGCCGACGTGGGCCTCGCGCGCGCGGCAGAGGCGACGGCCGGCGGCAGCCAGCAGGTCTCGCACCTGTCGACGCAGCGTATCTTTGGCAAGCCTGGCTACATGGACTCGATCATAACGCACGACGGGTCAGGCTTCGCAGCTCACCGATGGCTTTGCGCTCGGCATCACGCTGCTCGTCGCCCTGACCGGCCGCGGCGCTCTCGGCTTGCTCAACGCGTGCGACGATGCGCTTGAGGAGCCCGACACGGCGGAGAGCATCGCGGCGGCCGACGCGGGCTGGTCGGCGGCGCAGGCCGCGGAGCTGATGCGGCTCGTGGTTGGGCTGGCATACGAGCGGAAGAGAAAGCGGATGCCGCTCGCAGAGGCGCTGCCGCGGCTGGAGGCGCTAGTCGAGGCGGCGGGGGAGGTGGAGGAGACGGCTGGGGCCGAGGAGCGCCAGTGTGACCTCTGCTACGACGCGCCGCGCTCGGTCCGCTTCGCGTGCGGCCACGCGCTGTACTGCGAGACGTGTGCGCCGCGCGTGCTGGAGCGCGACAGCAACTGCCCGGCCTGCCGCCAGCCGGCGCTGCCCATCGCCGCAACTGGGCGGCTGGTGGCGGAGCAGGCGACGTTTGTCCACCAGCCGCCCTCGCGCACCGTGCCCCAGGCTCAGCCCGTGGGCGGCACGGAGGCGGTCGGTGGGCGAAGGGGACGCTCTGGGCGGGGCGGGCGGAATGCCCCGGTTGAACGCAAAGCCCGTGATGGGCGGGGTGCGCGTGATAAGCCCCCGGAAGAAGGTCCTGGCCCTGGAGGGCCCCACACCACCTTTACAAAAACTACGTCGAACCGATGGTGCAAATGGAAAACTCTCCCTCCAA